ATTCAGCAGTAATTATTCAAGTTTTGTACCAGATTCAGAATCAAGTGAACCCAATAAGTGCCTTTCTGCAAACATGGGAGATAACAGCCTAAACATTCGTAACAAACAATGGCAAGAGCCTTAACGACTATTTCTGTCCATGTCCCCAATTTGGCTTGATTTTACTCTGAAAGATGTAATTAACACTCACACACATGCACAGCACCTGTAGGACCAGTCAGTGAGACGTCCTATGTCAACACCCTACTAACCCTCTTGAGGTATGTTTGAGGAATCCATATTTTAACAACGACCTCAAGCACCACTGCTCCTCCACCTCAATGATTTATTATCACATCATTGATCATTATTATTAATCTGTTATACATTTGTATGAATATTTTTTTTGTCTTTTTAAATTAAAGTTATAATATGTAACTTTTCCACATTAAAATGTCTAAAAACAACTAGAAATAAGTTGAGACGAGCAGGACGAGCAGCCTCCACCAGCCAATCAGACGGAAGTTGAGTAGACCCCGCCCTCTCAGGCAGCCCAGGACACAAACAGAAATAAAAACTTTACTTAACAGTTTACTATTTTTCAATTTTCTATCCAACATTCCACAAATAGAAAATTAGATTAAAAAAAAAAACTCCTTATTCTTAATTATACACTGATCTGATGGGGGAAAAAAAATCAGTTTTATGAAATTGAATTCAATTTTCCAACTTTCTATTTTTCATTCTTTATATGGAAGTGTTGTTCTTTGTGACATGGACCAGACAGAGAGAGATTTTTCCATTTATTTGTCGGCTGCCGTAAGTGATGGTGTCACATACCCTTGTAGTTCTTTAGGCTTACTTAACTTGGAAAGTTGACTGTGCTGCTCTTGTTTAGTGGATTGCCATTGTGCAGTGTGAATGTGTGTTTGTCTGATACAATATCAGAGCTTACTGGTACATATCATTGTTAAGTAGCCAGAAAGGTAACTGGAGTGGGGGATGTATCCACCTCAGTGGGTTCAATCTGTCTTCATTGGGCACACGCAGAACATGCACGCCACCAATCGACACACACACACACAAACACACACACAAATGCAAACAGAGTATCAGGTAACAAGCCCTGAATTATTTAGGAGCCACGAAGCAGCAACCAGATTCTTCCACATCTTTGCAGCACACCTGAATATTAATGATCCAGAGACGGTGGCATGAGGAAAGAAGAATGCAGAGACAGAGGGAGAATGAGGGAGAAGACACTTGACAGAGATTTGGGAGTAAGATTGTTGAAGCTTGAAGTACAAGCACACCCATGTAAAAAAAATATATATGTCAAAATGTTTTTTTTTTTTCTCCTAATTTTCATTTTTCCAAGTTTAGGTTAATGCCATGGTTTTACCACAGCCATTTGATGCTTGTCTATTCCACCAAACACTACAAATTGTAACTTGAGAAGAGTCAGCCCATCAGAACCAAACAAATTAGATGTGAATGTATGTAAATCTCTGTTAGCCACTGTATTGTAAAAAAAAAAAAAAAATTGTTGTGGTAGCACTGACAAAATCCTGTGTAGTTACCAAACTAGTAAGGAACAAACAATAAACTAATTTGTAATTAATGAATACGTTCCCAGCTCTAAAGACCATAACTTGAAGTTACAGAGAGAGAAGTGTCAGCTAGTTACCAGTATTTAATGATCTTACTGTCGCAATGAATCATTCCTGTTTAAACTCAGCTGTTTATCAGTTTATTATGGTCATATTAGTAACTACTGTTTTGTTGCTTTTTAGTGAAGTTGTGTCCAGGGGCAGACTGAAACAATAATTCAGGCTGGGAGTTTGACTTGATCCCAGGCCACCCTGTACATGCAAACCACCAGACCGCTAATTTTGTAGGCTAACCCTGTTTGTTGATGTAACAGGCTACCAGACTAGTTATAAATTTGGCCACTATGTTGATCCGGGAGGAAAGTTATCCAGATTACAAAATACAAAAATAACTATTATTTCTTAACCATTTTAGCAATTGCATGTTATTAAAGGATGGTTGAGGCTTCGTGTGTACTATATAATCATAGCAGAAATGTCAATAAGTTGACAGAACATAACGTGAAGGGCAGTACTTTTCTGGTGCTTTGTCTCTCTCTCTCCCCGTCACTGGTTGCATCTCATACTGAGTTGTTCAACTGTATCTAAGAGGACATACAATAAAAACAACAGGTAAAGCCACAGCAGTCCTGATGTACTTCTTACTTAGCCAACAGCCTAATGTAGAAAAGTAGCCCATCCTAATGCTAGTTTCTTCTCGCTATGTAAGCTAGTGAACACAATGGCCTTCAGCAGGTGCACTATTTGATTAAGTCATTGGTTGAAGAAAATCCTGCCACATGACTGCAGTTAAAAGTTAGCCAGCAGGTTCACACTGGCACATTTACAGATGTTGATGTATGTGCATTGTCCCTAGAAAAAACATGTAAATTTGGTATTTGTGTGTGAAAGGAAATCTTATATTGTAGTGAAACACTGATACAGTGGCATAACTTTACTGGGAAGCCCAGAGCATTTAGCGCGAGCAGCCATTTGGCAGAAAATTCCTATTTGGCCGTAAGTGGCGATATCACAGCTGAGCATGATAGTCTGAGAGTCAACTTACGTAAACACATATTAAAACATACCCCTATTTAAATATATATTAACATATTCTTAATTGAAGACCCATAACAAGAAGTTAAGGCAGAATTGAGACTTGTTTTTACTTTGACTTTCAATGTTAGTACAAAAACGTATTCAACAACAGTTAATACAAACGCAACCATGAGTCAATGTGCGTCTTGCACTTCACATTGTGATGGGTGGAAATAAACACGTTGAAATTCAAGAGGAAAACGGTCAGCGGTAAAAATCTTGAAGGCCATATTTGAATTGATGAGCATAGTGAGAGTTTAAAAGTTTGGCACTGCAGCATATAAATGATACACAGTGTGTGGTGTTTGGGTTGGAGTCTGCATGAATGGAAGAGAAAAAGTAAAAGTATCTTTTTGTAGCTGCTGTTTGCACATTTCTCAAAATGTCTGTGCACAGTTCTAATATCTCAGTCCTCCATATTTTGTACCAAGAACTACTGTAAGAGAAAGTGACCATTTAGAAGCCTTTTCTGCCTGCCACCTTTATGTTGTTCCTACTTCTGTTTCTGAGTCAGTTGTCATCTGTGTCGCTAACCTCATTCCTAACTCCTCTCCTTCTTCATCCTCCTCCCCTCGTCATATCACTGCGGCTCTATCATGTCCTCCTATGCCTGTGTCAGTAGTCCATGCTGTGCAGCTGGCTCTTCTTGTCAGTTTTCCCCTGCAGGGCTGCAGGTAGCAGCGGCAGATTCAGGTCTGCCACGCGACGCTGGAGAGATGACCGTAACTGAACTGAGTTCCTCTTTGCTCCACTCATCCCTCCCCCTGCCATCCCTCTCTCCCCTCCTCCTGCTGCCGACAGATCTCTCCTCTTCCCTCTCTCCTGCCTGAGGCTCTTGATGACCAAGGTATGTTGTCTCTGTGAGGGGAAGGCGGGAGGTTTAGACCCGTTGACCAGGAGTCCTGGGGGCCCAGGTCGAGTCAACCCCACCCACGTCATCTTCCTGCCTCGTCCGTCTTTTAGCCCCACATTGCGCAAGCGTGGCAGGGGGGCAGAGGGTGATGTCTGGGTTGTTTCCATGGAACCCAGGTGGACTCTGTCTGAGGAGTGTGTGGTGTGTGTGTCGGCCTCCAGGAGCATCCTGGGAGAGATGCCGTTCTTCTCTGAGGAGTAAAACGTCTGCAGCTTTTCCAGACGCTCGTTGATGCTCAGGTGATGAGAGTGGTCATCCTGGTGGCGGCTGTCATGGAAACAGTCTGACCCGGGGTCTGCTGCCCCATCCGACTGAGTTGTCCTGAGCAGGTGCGTGTGTCGGATCGGTCTCACTGTGCTGCTGTCTCTGATTGGCTCAACGGGGACTTGGCAAGGGGCGGAGTCACAGAGTTGAGATGCAGAGCTCTTAGGAGGAGAAAGATGGACGAGTTCCCTGTCTCTAAACACAGACACTGGAACATAAAGGTACACAGATACTGTATGTCACACACTGTGCTGTGGATGTGTGCAGCTTTGTTTCTGTGCAGTAAATTCTTACCCTCAGGAAACAGCGTCTCTCTGGTGTCCAAGGTGATGGCGATCTCTTCATCAGTTGCCCCATCCTCTGCAGACAGAGGGGCAGGGGAGGGGGAGGGAAGGCGAGGAGGTATTGAGGGGGAGGCAGAGTGAGGAAGTTGGGGAAGGGAGGGGGAAGGGGGACGGTTCTCATCGTCCTCTCTGTTGTCCTTTCTGTGAAGCTCCTCGGTCCTCCTCCTGTTGCTCTGACATTCAGTTGTCTGCTGGGCCCTCAGAGGCCTGCTGGACTGCTTAGAGCTTTTCTCATTGGTCGGTTCATTCTAAAGATCAAGCAATGATTAGATTGGACAACTTGAAAGTTTCATCTGATGGTGGCACTAAATGAAAAGTCAGGAGATCACCAAAGTCCGTAGGATTCATCCCATGGACACCATAATGATGTCTGCACATCATGCCAATCTATCCAACGGGTGCTGAGGTACTTCAGTGTGGACCAAAGTGAAAGACTGAGCAACCGCCCAGACACATCGCTAGCATGCTAATAAACAAATACAGCACCCAGCTGTTTCTGCACATTTTTTAGCTATTTTGAAGTAGACAGACTAACATGCACTATGATGACAGTAAAAAATATAGATTGATGTCAGCTTTATAATGTATTAGAGGAATATTACTTTAACATCTCTGAGTGATTATCGTATTAATGTTTATTATATTATAGACAATGTCTGCATTACCTGTTGCTGAGTCTTGGATTCAGTGTTATTCCTCTCTCTCCATGTATTCTTACTGGGAAGACTCCAGTCATTGGTTTCCAGCTTCTGCAACTCAATCATTCAAACTTCAGGCAAACCATACATGCTTTTCATCATTTTTGACATGCCATCAACTGACCCACTTGTGTATTACAGGCATCAGAAAAGCTGCGTTTATTTCAGCATGTGCAGGCCTGCGTGTGTGTGAAAATGAGGTGCGAACCTTGCTGGCCTTGGCTCCTTTCTGGCTCCTGTTGAGTTTGTTGAGCAGCAGGTGATAGGAGGCCATGATGGCGGAGGGTCGGTTGGTGGTGAGCGTGTGAATGATTTCAGAGAGGGCGTAGCCCAGTGTCTCTGTCATATAGGCCAACACAGACGAGTTCAGATCCTCCGGACACAGTCTGGGAAATCACAACAGAGAGGTAGGGAAAAACCATAACAAAGATAAAGCGTGAAAAGTGAAGCAGAGAGAAATCTAATGGCTCGTTCAGGATCTGTCGGTAAGGAATGAGTAGAAACTGGTTTCTACTCAGGGTTTTGGTTGTGAGCTGTCCAGGGCTGGAACGGTTCTTGCTTTATTCATGTGGATTTCAGAAAACACGTTATTGCCAGGAGGAGCCGTACATGATTACATTTCCACACTGCATAAAGTGATAAAAGCCTTTTAGTCACGCTATAATACACAAAGCTGTTACTCTACTGACCACAAAAATTTTAATTTAGTCAGAAAACTTGCTGTGATTTCCCTCTTGGTGCTTTTGCCCACATTGTAATGTTTGCTGCAGAACTTTCCCAGAGGGCTCTTTGTATCTCATGGTATAATACACACTTATGTTACAAATATAGTAGTGTCATTTATTAAAAAATCACAAGTGAATATACTGAAGGTATTTACATATTTTTGCAGTATGTGATATTTTTCACACATCACCTATTTTTCTTATTTTAAGATATATTTAGAAAAAATATGATAGAACTTTTTACAGTATATAAAATTGGTGAATTCCGCAAAACATATTATCAAAAGTGTGTCAGTTTATTACATGTGCATACAAGGAAAAAATATTTTAGCCGCCTTTGGGTGTGTGTGTAGACGCCATGTTAAAGTGCAGTCACACAGTAGATCTCGACCTGTTTTTATGAGAGAGCGTGTGTAGTGGTTTCTTGGCATATCCCTCGTTGATCCATCTTTCCTCCATCGCGGCTCTGACACTGGGTCTCTTGGCTGGGTCTGGCTCCAGGAGAGACAACACAAACGACACCGCACCTGCAACAGGAGCACAGATGGACTGAGTACATACAGGGCAGCGTAGGATGGAGGGATGTAACATTTGAAGCAGCATAATAGATAAATAAATGAATAAGCAGCTATAAACAATAATGTATTGCAGTGTATGATGTGAAAGGTGTTGCTCATAGGGATAAACCCACACAGAATTACCTGACTCTGCAGTTCAGCTCTGTGTTTTTGGGTCTTTCAGCTCATTGTTTTGGTTTCCCTTCCTGTAACTTCACTGTTTTGGCTAAGTGTCATTTCTCACTGGTTTGTTAACAGCAGGCAGCTGTTTTCGGAGAGAAAAGCTCAAAAAGCCCACTGTAGGCTAATGTGCCCAGCACCAATTAGTGGATGGACAAAGTTAGTGATTAGCTGGTGAACATAGTGGAGCGTTTGGCAGCTAGGGAGCCAGATATTTTTCTTGAAAGTTGGTGGAGACTGCACTCCACCCTCACCACCACCCACAAGTTAAATGCTAGCATTCAGCTTTGGTTGCAGACATGAACATTAGTCAAGACCACACAGTCATAGCTGGTATTCTAAATGCAAGCAACTGCTGGTCAACGACCATCTTGTTGGTTACTCAAATTTGCTTGGAAGGGGTTGTGGTAAATGTACTTCAAAATGCTTCATATTCAGCTACAGTCACACAGATGGCCATGCAAGACTCATGGAAGCAGTTTTGGGTCAGTGTCTTGTGCAGGTGAAAGGAACTTTGGCATGTAGTTGGGCAACGCCAAGGTTCAGACCTCCAACCAAGCAAATTAATGACTTTGTACATCTCTCACTACTCATGCCTGGCCAAATAGACCAAACTAAAAAGAACCAATGTTACACAACCACTCCAGGCTGCCAGGCTGCCAGACTGCTGTCACTCATTGTGACTTCGCTGAAACCGTATCAGAGACGACAGCATGGAGAGGGGCAGGATTTCCCTTGACGAGAACCAATTTAGCCTGTCAGCCTACGACACCCAAGCGTGGTTGATAGTTTGACTCCAGATGGGGATTCCTGATAAGCACCGCAGTCTGGAGGAGAAGGTAGCTTCAAAGAGGATGGCTGCCGCATTCTCAGACATACACGCCAAGACTGCTGCATTCAGTTTGCTGCTATCAGCTGCCTTGCTTTCAGTGGTGAGGCCAAAGCAGCTTGTCTCAGCAGGGTCAACTCAGTTTGTTTGTAACCAATAGACTATTTGAGGATTTTAATTGATAACCATCTGGGGAAAAAAATATTTTTGTAGACACTCACAGTAAAAAATGTGGCAGTGGTGGTTGGGGTCTGGGTAAGTTAAAGTTGTGTATTGTGTTTGTTGAGAGTTTAAAGGGTTGATGAAAAAAACAACCCCTTGCAAAAGCGGGATAAAGTGTAAAAGTTAATGAGGATGTCTCAGATGCCGATCTGTGGCAGTGATACAGCCACTAATCTGATCTTGTCACAGTTTCAGAGCATCAGGGCCGTGCTGGTTTTCCCCACAGTAACAGGAGCCGTGTTTGTTTGTGGTGACATGGCGCCATGACAGACTGTAATGGAGTGACTATGTGTGAGAACGAGACCAAAATAAAGCAGAGATAAACAGAGACACTAAAGCCAATGTGGACATGGTGCAGAACAAGTAAGAATTAAGGGGAAACTTTTCCCTCAGTTCTTTGTTTCGTGACAGATCTGTGGTCGGTAGAAATCCTAGGATCTTCAATTAGCTATTTGTAATGTGCTGACCTGAGACTGAGGAAAACTTTCCCAAATGGAAATTGGGAAATCATCATGTTGATCTTCTATGGTTTACTTTTTTTTTTTTTTTTTTTTTTTTTTTTTTTTAATTCTTGGCCATTTTGTCTGGAGCTGGATAGCCAAGCATAAAAGTGATATTTGAAATGATTAATACGAAGTGTGAGATCTGTCTTGGTGCATTTTTTAGCCATTTTTTTTTAGCCTACAGCCTGTAGGTGTGCCTTTATATATTTTTAGCCACTTCAACTCATAGAGCAGTCTTTACTTTTCTTATTATTTCAAAGTACGTTTGTTCTCGCCATGTCACCTCTAGCAAATACCCGTGAAACCCCATCAAGACTCAAAGCAAGCACTCTCAACTCCAGCTCTATGGAGGCGAGTGACTCATTGGACATTTTAAAGTACATAACGGTGGCACAGTCTTTGTTTCAGTTGGGGGGAGGGGTGTTACCTTTGCTGACGTCACTGGGGATGCTGCTGATCTCTCCGTTGACCATCTTCTGGTGCAGCTGTTTGATGTTGAATGGTTCAACAGTAAAGGGCAGAGTCCCTGTCAGCATGGCGAACATGCTCACACCTCTGCACACACGCACACAGACACACACACACACACACACACACGGAGGGAAAATGTGTACAAACACATTGACATTATCCATACACAGCACCACAGAGGAAAAAAATATCCAGGCAAAGCTATGATCGAACAGGCCTCAACAGACACAATGAGACTTTATCACTTACACGGACCAGACGTCCACTTTGGGTCCATACTTCCTGTGAGCGAGCAGCTCAGGGGCGGCGTAGGCAGGACTTCCACACTGGGTGTTGAGAAGCTCCAGGGACAACGACTCTGTCTTCAGAGTGTTACTCAGGCCAAAGTCTGTGTGAAACATCATCATTTTTCCAATGGGTTCTTGTTGCTGCACATTTACAGATGCACTCGATGGCTACGGTTCTGCACTATCCTGATGTGTCCAACATTTTTGCATCAATACACCGGCAGGCAAATGTCACTGGACAAAGCAGAAATGTCAACATACCTACGATCTTTATGTTGTTATGTTCGTCCAGCAGGAAGTTTTCAATCTTCAAATCTCTACAGGGGAAAAGAAGAGAGACAAAAAAACAAAGTGTGGTTCACCATGAGCTTTGTCCTTAATCCTACAGGAATTTCTTAAATTGCTTTTTCCCTACACATGAGTGTTTTGGAATAATTTACTTGACAGACACTCCTGCAATGCGTGTTTGGCCTTACTAAGCTTTCCTGTGTATTTATGGACAACCAGATGAGATGGGACCAAACTATACCCACAAAAGCAAAGGAAAACCCAAGTTAAATTTGGGTTTGGGTAGAGCTCAAGCATTAAAAATACTGCTGAAAAATATTTGGGGGTACATTTAGTAGTAGTCATTTTGGGAATTAGTTTGCTTTGGACTGCTAAAACCTTCCAACCATCAAGATTTTCAAGTCAACTCAAACTGCTCCTCTTGACTTGTGATCCTCTACCAGAATAATATCACCTGGAAAAGTTGCCTCACTTCCCTGAAAGTACCCCTGCCTCACCACCAGCCACACGGCCTGCTCTAAAACTACCAAGCTAAATGAAAATCTGCGGTTAGGGGAGAGAGATCCCCTATAAACTACAGCCTGGGAATCAGCCATGTTCCTTTCATCTGCCTTCATCTAACCAACAGACACTCCAGGTCCCAAAAATCCAAAGGACACCGCTCACACAACCCGAGGAAAGTTCAAAGACAGACGGAGCGAGACGGAGCGAGAGCAGACATTGTCATAAAGGAGAAAATGTATGCGGTAAACCTACTGAATGTGGGTGGCAGGAGGTGCGTTTAAGTGCAAATTTTCCATTTATTTCCAGTTTAATCATCTCTGTGTGGGACTGTGGTGGAGAGAGTGTGTGTGAGCGCCAGTGAGTGTATGTATGTGTGTGAGGACGTGGGTGTGTGTGTGTGTGACACTGAGAGAGGTGTTATTGAAGGGTTGAGCGCTACATCGTTGAGGGACTTCATTAGAGAGGAAGTCCATGATGTTGTGATGATGTGTGAATCATGGCGCCGGCGCAGGATGATGAGGTCATTGCCTGGTAATCACATTCCCACCTTCAGAGGAGCCAAGGTCTTAAACCAAAGCCCAGAGCTGTGCATGTTGTGTGTGGTGTGTGTGTGTGTATGAGCATTGGGTCTCTAACGCCTACACATACTAAAATGCCACTAAAATAACACTCTCGACTCCCACACTGCACTGTGCCTTTCTTGCAGTGTTTCCTCCTCTGAAAACTGTTAATGCCCTGCAAACTACTCTGTGTGCTGTGTGCTAACAAGTGTGTTTATATGCATGAATCTACAAGTCTAACCATAACATCCACCATGCAACAAATAGCTACTGCTTGTGGGCTTTGAAGGCCTCAGTTGTTTTCACAAAATCTCTACCAGGGCCAAACAGATAAAAGCATGACAAGCTCTTTATCACACGCTCCAGTATGCAGTTCTTTGTAATATGCATGCCAGAAGATGTCCGAACATCAAGGTTAAAACTGTACTAAATGGTAAGTGAGGTTACCATAGTTTTAACAGGATGTCAGCGCCTATGAATGTGTCTCAACTCAGGGGCTGCATCATTCGAGGGCTGCATTTAAAGACTGATTGCGTCACAGTGGTGCAACATCCACTTCCATTTTGAAGGCTCTCTCAAATGCAGCCAAGAAATGTGTCCTTCATTTCCTGGGCAATGAAGGATCCAACGGGGATAGCAGCCCATGCTATCCCAAGATTCACTGTGTGACAGTGATTAATCACTTTTCAAAGAGAGAATATCGTGGACTCCGCAAATATATAACAGCGGCTGAGGATGAATATGGAAATCCACCGTAGACCTGACCGTCTCATTTCGGTTTGCCCTTCGCAGCCTACACACCGCCTCCAAAGGATGTGGCCCCTGTATTGAGACACAGCTTTTATGTCAATTTGGGGTTTTAACAGGTTACAAATTCTTAAGAGCACATCTCCTCCTTCTCCCTCATTAAAAAATACACAAAAGTATCCAGAGAAATATGCAAATATTTTTCAGTTTGAATGTTTACGACTCAGATGTCTCCTCCGGGACTTAACTGAAAAATCCCACTTCAGTATGTGTCCTGAAGGTTTCAACTTTCCACCTCGTTTAAAAAACTGATTTTTAATGTCAAACTCTGAACATACATCATTCTGCACAGTGACGCTCAAGCATCCAACTGAAGTAACAATAAACAAATCATATTTTTCACTTTACAACCAGTTTTAGTGCAGGTTTAACTTAATGTCCAGATACCTTTACACCTGCAAATCACCATATCAGTTCTTAGTGGGGGAGATAAATCTTAATATAATGTAGATTTTTGCTTCCACTTTATTATTTTTAGCATCAGTTAAACTATTGATTGTTTTTTTTTCAATTGATCAAATAATCATTATAATAATTAGTAATGAAGAGTCCAACCAAAAGTCCAAAATACCAAAGGTCCGTTTACAATGAATTGAACTAGGAAAAACAAACACAGCTTGTGAATGGCAATTGTTTTAGAAATTAATATATTTGATCTGGGGCTTTTTGAAGATTTGTTATTTTCCTTGGTTCTGACATGAAACAGGGCTGAAAATGGGTATAATGTCTTGATTTTGGAGGTACTTTTCATTCCTTACCTATCTCCGCAGATGAGCAGAAAAGTTGTGGAAAATGAAGAAATAAGGGGAAATGAATCTATACCCATCACTAACTAGGCTAGATCAATGAAAGCAGCAGTTAGAAGACGTGTAAGACTCTGTAAAGGTGTTTTCATTAACTCAGTATGAGGCAGATGTCTCTAATACATGTAGAAGTACTGCACATTGTGTCCATGCTCGTCCTGTGTGTGTGTGTGTGTGTGTGTGTGTGTGTGCAGTCTCACCTGTGTACGATGCCGTGTTTGTGCAGGTGCTCCACTGCAGACAGGATCTGTCGGGTGTAGCGCCGCACCTCCCTCTCCTCCAGCCTCTTCCTCTCACAGATCCTGTCCATCAGGTCTCCCCCAGCACAGAGCTCCATGGCCATGTAGTAGCTGTTCTCTGTCTCCAGAGTCTGACACAAACAGGTGTTCATGCGCATACTAATTGGACACGCTTATTCTAACCTCATTTCTACAATCTACAATTAACATACTGTTGGATTCAAATACGAACAAATGTAATGTTGTTACATTGATGATGTTTTTGTTTCATACCTCCAACAGGACCACGATGTGAGGATGTCGGACCATCTGATGAATACGAGGCTCTCTCTTCATGTTCTTCAGTACGTACGAGTCCTGACGCGCTTTTTTCTTGTCAATCACCTTAATAGCCACCTAAACACACACACACACACACACACACACACACACACACACACACACACACACACACACACACACACACACACACACACACACACACACAAAAACAAATATGCACATAAATATACAATAGCTTTAAGGTGGTTTTTAGATTGGTGGTTTAAGTTGAATCAGCACCCTTTGCTCTTCCGTTAAAATGTAAAAGTCTTTTGGCAGTCATGAGCTATATGGATGGATGTGTACCCACAGTTCTCTACAAATGATAGATGTGTAAGTAGTTGTGGCTTCAGAGCCTTGCCCAAGGGTACTTCCAATTTAATTGTTAAGGAAGTATTCCTTAATCACTTTCTCCACCTATGTTTGGCTGGATCGCAACAGCGGGGCCAGTCCTATAAACAGACTATTGGTCGGCCGGCTGAGTGTTTCCCTATTGCTCACTGTTCTTACCAGATGATTTGGAACGAACGAGCAGTGTTGCTAATTTAGCACCTTTGTTGCTTTTTAGACGCCTTTAGTGACTTTTTTTAGACAGACCTCAGCTACCTTCCCTAAAAGAGTCAGTACAGTACAGTACAGCCCCGTGAGTGTGAGGTCAGGCTTTCCCTCCACAGGCACACCTCTCTATGCTGACCGCACGGCAGCTTATGTGACTGAGCTTCTAACTTTCTCTCAGAGTGATCATTTAGCTGAAAATCACAGAACAGTCTTTGTCTTTAACTTATGTGTTTGGTGATTTTGTCACATGACGTCGTGGTTATAAAATCAGGATTTTAGCAGCAGCTAAGAAATGGCTTGGAAGGGACTGCGGGTTGACATGTAGTCTGAATGAGCTGCGTTTCAGTTCTAATTCAAACTTGTTCCATTGTCTGACAACAGTAACAGAAAAACATGTAAATGAGGACAGCTTAATTGGGAATTTGGCTGTATCAAAGTACTGTACATGTGAGCACAGAGAGAAGAAGAGAAGCAAACAGACTGAAACTAGCTGACACTAGGCAGAGTGCCAACAGTTTACGATGCAGCAGAGCCATACACTGAGTTTTGACTTTGACTCATCCAATGACCTTCAGTTATGAGACCTCATGACACCCACCTCTAGATCTAAGTTTAACTTGTATCACTCATCATGTGTGGTAGAAAAGAAGACTGAATGAATTCAAACAACAAAAAAAACAAACCTTCCCTTGGTTACAAAAAAGTTGATACAAGCTATTTATGTTCTTACAACCATTTCCCCCTGAAATGAATGATCGTGATGAAAAAAATGACTTGGCCTGCACAGGAAATGAAATTCCTAAAAGTGACATTTATCTAAAATGATTCAGCTTATAACTGAGAACTACAGTTAACGTATAAGGTAAACATTCGGGTGTGAATGATGGTAAAGTGTAAAGTGTTGGTAGAATCTAGAAGGCTCAGTTTATTTACATTTTATATTCCATTAATATTTTCCATAAAAAAAAAAAAAAGTTTGTCATTAATATATGGTGTGATGTCACTGTCATTTCAATTAAAATTAAAAAATAAGAAGGTCCTATAGTATAAAACAGTGTGTGTGTGTGCACATTTGTGGACTTCACCTCCACAGGTCTCGTACCTGCAGAGGGTAACAGGGGTTAAGAGGTGCAAACACCCTTGGAGGTGAGTTTGGTCACTGCTATGGCAACCAGGTCAGGTACATATGAGCCGGGGCGATGACAGAAAGTTACACATACATTTACTTACTTACACACATACATACATATATATACATACACACACACACACACACACACACACACACACACACACACACACACACACACACACACACACACGGCTTCCACTACACAATAATGCATATCTATAATCCCAGTTTATAGCCACAGTATCAGAAATAGGCAAAATATTACACACTTTCATATATTAATGTGGGTTTTGTTACGACTATTTGAAAGAATATCACATTAAAAGGAAAAGATATGTTCAAGGGAACACCGTGTATACTTCCTCTCAACATGTAGTAGAAATGTTTATTTTCATATTGTACATAAATCATAAATAAAACTTATGCTGCATCAATTTGCCGTTTTTCAAAACAATAAAATTCCTTTAAGAGTCATGGAGAGGTACCCATTAAATGCAGGTAGTTCTGACTATGATGTTGTACACATAACAAGAATAATAACAGGCCGCTGCCTTATTCAAACTCAAGTGAGTATAACTCCCAGTTGCAAGTGTACAGGGCACAAGTTGTAACCATGTAATCATAATCTGGTGTGTGATCTTTCCCTCTGCCAGTATGCCGTCTCTCCAGTCTGAGGCAGGTCACATCACGTCTCCTCTCTCTAATTCTCACATCAGGGAGAAAGCACTGACCTTTTCCCCCGTGCCGATGTGCAGCCCCTCCATCACTTTGGCAAATGAGCCCTTATTGATCATCTTCCCCACCAGGTAGGATCCCACCCGTTTGGAGTGTGGGAAGCTCCGCAGCAGCTCCCTGGGGACCTTGAGAGAGGGGAGAGGCAGCCTCTCCCGGTCCAGCGTCGAGGCATCCCACTGGGACACTCCTTCACCCCCTCCCTCCGCCACCATGTCCTCTGGACTGGGCTTCACTGCAGCGGCTGGCATCCCGGACAGGCTCCGGGCCCCATGTGGCTGCCTCTTTACGCTCACAATCAAATCCAAAACCAGGTCTGACCTTGTGAAGCACACATACTAACGCACCCAGATGCACATGAACACAAACACGATGGTTCGGTTGACTTGAAGGTATAAAATTACAGACAGGATCCAAATCTTTCTTCAGGAGGAAGAAGTGTCCTCGCCCACAGATTTCCTCTCACTCTCAGATAAGTAATTCCTTCATTCCAGACTGTCTGACAGGTGATTCCTCTTTTCTTCTTTGTTTATTTTACCTGGTAGCGAGTACAGGTGCGTTAAGTGTCTCTTTTTCAATCTAACTGTGCTTCCTCCCTCCTTCTCTCCCTCTGTCTCTCTCTGCTGGGTAGTGGATGATTAACCGTTGTGTTCTTAGGTCAGCTCCAGTGATGAGGAGGACATTCTACACCGTAATTACCCCCCCACCCTCCCCCCTCTGCACACACTAAAGTACACACTGATACCCACAGTTACTCAGTAACCATCCAAACTCTCTTTCTTCGTTTCCTTGGCTGCCATTTGAATTTCTATTTTATATTTCTGTCTCTTTCAGTTTCTCCATGACACCATCAGGTAGGCTAATTTAATCTCGATGAGGACAGATCGGAGTTATGACACGCAGATGAGGACAGGTAAGTGGATGAGAATGAGACTTTGACTTTGAAAACCTACACAGCTTCATTCACCAGGAAAAAGTTATCTATTCTCCGGAAAGATCCCTGTAATTTTTTGCAAACTTTATTGTGTTGTAGATTGAATTTTAGATGGATAAAATTGCCTTTGTTGCCCATCAATCTACACTCAGTTACCCATAATGATTTTTTAGAAGATTATGCAATTTTAGTTTTATTAAAAATCTTAAAGCTGAAATCTCTCATTTACAAAGTATTCAGATCTTTGAGATGTGTCTAGAACCTGATTGGCTAATTGAATTGATTGGACATAGTTTAGAAAGGCACACACCTGAGTATATACAGTAAGATCCCACAATTCACAGTACAAGTTACAACAAAAACAAAGCCATGAAATCTACATCAGTCCAAGCGTTGAGTGTTCTCAGGGGCACAGTCGCCTTAATAATTGTATTGGTTATTAACTGTGTGTTATCAACTGTCACTCTAGTCCTCTGCAGAGATGGCAGAACCTGTTGGGAGGACGACCATTTCAGCAGCAGTCCATCAGTCAGGCCTTTATGACGGAGCGGCTGGATGGACTTTGGGTATAAGGGTTGAGTTGAGTTGAGTTTACCAAACAGTATTTAAAAAGACCGGAGAATGCGTGACCCAGCCAAAACCCGAATTTCTAAAAACATGTTTTCATTTTGTTATTATGACAATTTTATCCATTTAAACTACAACACAGTAAAGACTGCAAAAAAGTTAAGCGGTCTGAATACTCTCTGAAGCCACTGTATGTTAAGGGAGGAGTTTGACATCTCAGGGTAAAATTGCTTGCTTTTGCTTGAGAAGACTGATATCACTCTCATGTCTGTTGAGTTTAGTCTGACAGCTTAGTTTAGCATAAAAACTGGAAATGGTGAAACTGCTAGCCTGACTCTGTCCCGAGGCAAAATCCACCGAACAAAGCTCATTAATTAAAGTTATATCTTGTTTGTTTAATTTGTAAAAAAAAAAAAAAAAAAAAAAAAAAAAACGAACAACCTGTGTCTGAAATTGACAAGCTGTTTTGTACAAATTGAACAAATTGAGGTTAACATGTGCTAGTAGTATGTATATTGTTATATTTGGACAGTGCTAGTCTAGCCAATTGCCTTGTTGCCAGTCTTTATGATAACCTTAAGATAACCGTCCAATCGCTGTAACTTAATATTTACTATACAAACATGAGAGTGGTATTGATCTCATCTAATGCTCAACAAAAAGTGAATAAGTGTATTCCACAAAATGTTGAAATATTCCTTTAAATCACGTCCATGGCTTTTCTGCTTATCAAGAATCTAGTGAAAATACTTTCTGCCTTTTATCAATATTTACAAATGATTACAGAATTAGTTCTGAATTGTTTTTAAAGCTAAAAGTTCTCTAATGTGATTACCATTACAACTACGACCTTCATTGTTGACCCCTGAAAGTTAATTATCTTTTGTTAGGTCCAGACAGGTCAGAGGTCAGAGTCAACGACAGATCAGCACCCCTGCAGCTGGTGGGGATTCAGTATCTTCCCTAACAAGCCTTCAGCGGGGCGGATTTCTTCTGGCTTCAGACCATGAAAGCCAATTATGGTTTTAACATTTTTACTCGAATGATGAGTTTACATGATAACACTCATCATTTCAAGTAAAAACCAAACTGGAGTTAGAGTTATATTGACTTACTGATATAATGCTGGCAAGAGGTATCAGAGCCGCAGAGGCATGTGTTATGACAGTGGTGATCAGTGGAAAGCAGCAGTGAGGTTTTGCACTGATGAGCGATGGCCGGCACTGAAAGTATGTCTGCTTTTCTGCTACTGTGTGTATCAAAGTGTGTGTGTGCACGTCAGGGTCAGATTGCAGTGTGTTGCTGCTCGATTCTTCCTCACTCAGCTGATGAAAGGAGGGATAGAGCCTTATATCCGCCATGTAACCAAATACCCTCACACACTCTCAAACACACGCACAAACCTTACACAACCTTTAACTGAGCGGCTGTAGTAGCCAAGTGAAGCTTCTCCAGTTACCTTATTTTGTTTTAAACATGTTGATACTGTATAATTTGATTTAGCATTCAGAGAAAACGCACAGCTGCAGCAGCCATGACAGTCCGCTTCCCTCTCTGACACATTCAAGCGCCGTTAAACTTTGTGTAATCGCAATCAAAACACTTAGTCAACCGTTTTTTCTCCCTTTGGATGACCATGCCAACTCTTTATGAGACGTGATCAGCAACATTGACCAACTCAAGTCCAAACTGTCTTAGCCATAATTAAAAAAGACACATAAAAATACAGAAAACACCCTTTCTATACACTGGTGTCAACAGTTTTTCCAGAATATTCTGAAATGAGCCGCAAAACAGAGAACCAGTCTACAATTAGTGGTTTCACATCAGTAGAATCCAAAGTGCTGTGAAAACACCAACCAAAAACCCTTTAAAAAAATCATTAATTTTCCTACACAAGTTAAATCTCACGTCTTAATCTCTCTCTTCTTCTTCATGTGTGTATGTGTGTTCATACGCCAGGAGGCCTACACTTCATAAACGGGTCTTAAGGCCCTGGCGTGTGTGTGGGAGGAGGTGTTAACACACCCTCCCTAATGCCGGGGAAGGGTGTCAAGCTGTATCTGGCTCTGCACTGGACAGACGCAGAGGAAGAAAGAAGTAAGGAAAGAGAGGAGGAAAGTGTGACTGTGTCGCACTCCAGTCACAGGAAGCGAGAGAAAAACTAACAACTACACAGAGAGACAGGATGAGTGAGAAGGAGAGAAACCGAGCTTCACAACTGCAAAACAAATGTGAATTAATAAGACCTCTGGAGGCTTTTTATATAACCTCGGCACTGCCGTACTTAAATGTTTTGCAGAGGCTCTTCTGTGTATGTATGTGTGCATGTGTGTGTTAATGTGTGTGCTTTCATGGTTCAGAAAAGGTCAATCTCCCTGCCAGAGACCACAGTCTATTTGTGTGTGTGTGTGTGTGTGTGTGTTTATGCATACACACATTTTGCAAGCTCTTTCTGAAAGCACTGTGTTCCTGAGATGACATGTCCTTTACATCTACACATATAATCATATTTAAGCTTCATTTACATGCCTTAATTATCTAATGGTGATTGTGTGCGTATACATAGGTGAGTGTGAGTGTGAGTGTGTGTGTGTGTGTGTGTGTGTTGCGTTGGTGCAATGGAATGCTGGCTTGCCTGTAGGACTTGGCGAGCTTCTCGGCGGTCACATTAAATGAGAAGAGAAACCCCCTTCTGCTTCCTGCCTGTAATAAATGGATCCCCAGCAACCATTAAGGCATATTTTAACACCAAATAACTCCCCAAAACCACACTAGAACAGACACAGTCGACCCCCACCCTCTCACCATCTCTCACTCTCTCTGTCTCCTGCTCTTTTCCTTTTATTTCTCCATCCACTCTCTTGCTTTTATATCCCCCCCCCCCAAAAAAAAAAGAGCATGAAGCTAAATCTTAAAATGAGATCTTTGGTGCCACAGCATGATGTACCTCCCAGTCATACTCTGTAGTCTGTTAGAAAGTTTAATGGGAGTTGTAACTCTTGAGCAACACTGACCCTCTAAAGTTGGCTTTTTCTTCACCCTCATTTAAATGTTTTAATGTATACATCTGGGGTTTGTCATGAGAAAAATGGTAATACATATTTTCAAAATATGTATCCAACTCACTACATTTTCAAGCAGACTCCTTTAACACAGGGCTTCCCCACTGTTTCCCAACCGTTTCTATATTGACGGTGTCGTTCCAGGATTTGATCTGTGTTCCATTGTGGTTATTTACGGAATTAAAAAAGTGATAAAACGACTGGTTACATCCATAGCACTGATGACCTATTTCATTTAAAAATCAACATTATATAGTTGGGGGCATGACAAGGACTAATGACGAGTAGTCGACCAGGTTCAAGGTAAGTCCTGCAAAAACAGTGTATAATAAATGTGTAAAGTTATTTAATCGTTACCCTTTTTTTTTAATAGTTTTCTTGGGGTTTGTTAGTGTATGTTCAGTGACCCAGTGTAACTCCATGGCCCAAGGAGTCAGGGACCCCTGCTTTAATGGGATTAACTGAATATCACTTTAGCCCCATTCAGACACACACACCTTTATGTTAATCTGACAGCACTTTAACACATCGATGTCATGTCTGAATGAGCACCCTGCTCACGTTTATGTAAGAGTCATGATGGCTATGGGCTGGACCTGCTGACATTATGATGTACTGTGTGTATGAGTGAAGACACAAAACTGTTGCAAAGAATAAACCTGTTGACATCAAGTTACAGGACGGC